TGTGTGTGTGTGTGTGTGTGTTAGTGTGCACATGCTTCCATCCTCTCGCATCAATGCTTCAAAGGTCTAATGTAGCCAAAGCACTGATAAACACTTTGTGAGCCCAGGAGAGGGACTGCGTGTCAACTTGTCTATATCTGACTTCACAGACACACACACGCACACTTGGAGCTCTGTTGTGCACAACCTCCTCCTCAGAATGTGTTGCATCAAAAGAATAATCCAAAACGTCCTCCCCCCACTTCCTCCCACAACTCCTCAGTGTTACGACTCCAACTAAGTGGCAGGTTAACATTTCCAGACCTGTACGATACACAACGATTCAGCTGCACTGTAAAACATCCAGTTGTAGATTTCAATACTTTGCCCCTAGTTGCTTATTATTGCATATCTAACAACTCTGTTTATAAAACTGTCTAAAACGTACCTGCTGCTCACACGACAACAAAAACTATTCAGTAAAATATATTAACAAGGATTAATATTTCATTTTACAAATGAAAAGGAAGACGCAACATGTTTTCTTGTTGTTGGAAATGGCATTTAGCTCTTTCAGGAAGAATAGCATTTCTTTTTCTGGGGTTTCATGACATTTTGCCTTTGTTTTGGTGTTGGGGACCGTGGTGGATAAGGTTAGCTCTTCAGTGGAGAATGCAGTGGGTAAAGTGACAGCTCATGCAACAACATAGTCTTGACTTATATTTGAACCAGCAGAACCATTGGAAACTTCATGTGAAGATATTTCAACAACTGGCTACTCACAATGTTTCTTTCCTCTCATCAATCTTCATCAATGAATATCGGATTGTGATTTGTTTGGAATTAAGTTTTGTGTGCTTGACTCAACACAGATGTTTTTTTATTGATGATCATATATGAAAAACAAGGCATCCATATTGATTTACTCCACAGAGTAGATGAACATGTTTCGTGTCCACTCTCCGGCCCATTAGGCCCAGTCTCCTCTGAAATGCCTTCAGGTGCTGCCGCCTGCTTTTAGCTGATTGTGGAGTTAGCGTGCTGTGCTCCTGGTCTCAGTGCAGCACTTTGCACGGTGCTGTGATGTTAATGTATTATTTCCATTTCTGGTTGTTGGAGTTAATCTGTGAACTTCAGCTTGCTTTTCCACCTGAGCACCTGGTGAACTAAGGTTTGTAGACAAGCGTGTGTATGGGGCTGGAATTGTGTGTATGCCTGTGCACAGAGGTACACGCTCCCGCATCATGGCTCAGTGGCCGACATGTTAGACCAGAGTCTGATTGGATTCCACGCTCCAGAAACATTAAACCTGGTGACTCATAGACAAAGGTTGAAGTGAGTTGTGTGTGCGTGCGTGGGTGTGTTTGTGTGTGTGTGTCTATTTTTTTACATTATGTGTTAGGGAGCCTATCTCAGCATGTGTACCACTACGAGTGTGCAGGTTTAAATGTGTTTTCTTGGAGATTACATTTATTTTCCTCTGTGTGTGTGCACGTGCACATGCATACCTGCTTGAGATACACTCGTGCATGCTGCAGGAGAGTTCAATTGTCCTTCAGTTCAAGGTCACTGAGGTGTACCCTATCTTTCTTCACCATCTATTAGCTGTCCAGTTGAGGGACTGGGGATGGATGGGTAGAAAGCTTAAGTTAAACACAGTCACCCACGGGCAGAGAAGGTTAATGTCCAGATTACTGATTGCCTATTTAAAACTGTAATTGGTAGAATAATCTACTGGATGGATGTTTAATTACTTTAACTGTCAAGAATCTACCTAAACACCATCTGATTCCTTTCAAGTCTTATTATTGTGATATTTCTAACTTAAATCCTCCTGAGTGTAAAACTCTGCTGTTATTTTTTAATCAAAGGATTTGAAACATCAAGAAATAAAGTAAATGATGCATCGCTCACTGTTACCACGTCTGTTGTCTGTGACCCCATCATATCTTATCTGTCTCCACTCACATGTGACCCTCATCTTCTCTGTCTTTATCTGCTCTAACATTAGCTTGACTGTTGTTCTAGTGATGGATCCCTCCAGGTGGGAAAGGACATTGCTGCTTACACACTTATCAATGGATCTACCAACCCATGTGCTCCCCTGAGCACCTCTCGCCTCCCTAATCTCCTCCTCTCCTTCCTAGAATTGGTTTTGGTCCGTTAACTGAGAGGCCGTCTTGACTGACTCATCGACCCTGGTCCTCTTGACACGTGTCAGCGTTGATGTAGCCAGGTGACAGGATGAAGGGATTGAAGTAACATGGGGATGACATGCCCCTGTGCTCTGTGATGGGAGATTGGACATTTTCTGGTTTAACGACTGTGAAAAATGAGTTTTTAAATGCAAAATCAGGAGGACTGTACAATCTGAGGGGGTAATAGTGGGAGACATTTGCACGAATGTCACTGATGTGTAGATACTGATAGTAGCTTTTAAAACTTTTCTATCAATAATTGAATACTGGGTTCAGCCTTAGAGAGAGGGTGAGGAGTTTGGATGTCCAGGGGGAGTAGAACTTCTGCTCCTTCACGTCAAAAAGGGACTCTGAGGTGGTTCAGACATCTAATCAGGATGCTCCTTCAGGGGCTCAGGGGTAGACCCAACATATGTGGATCCCCCAAAAAGAAGAAGCGTGGCTTACTTACCCCATTGAAAAAAAAAAAAGGTTTGATTACCCTGGTATCAGACACAGAGGAAGCAGCTGAACGATGGTGCATTATTTCCCTACAAGGACGTTGTGGAAGGATGAGTTTAACACAGCCTGAGTCCCCGTGAGTTTCAAACCCACACCAAAGTTGTTTTTATCCATAAGACACAAATTCAATGAATTACAAACCACCTGTCTGTTTCTTTTGTGGAAATTGAGAGCAAGCTTTCTCTCTTGTAGCGCTGCATCCCGATGGGAGCCATACTAACAAGCTGCTTATCCCAGCCTCCCTGTGTACAGCGAACACACAGACTGACCGAGCTCTTTGCTGAAATGAAAACAAACTTTATTTTAAAAAACAACAACAACTTAAAAGCACGAAAACAGAAGTGTCTGGTCTGACACATCTCCCCCCTCTGGGATCAGGCAAATCTGTTTATTGTTTTCATGAGCAAAAAGCTGTTTTGCACAGAAAGTAAAAACAAAAAAAAAATCACTTTGTTTGCCCGAGAGAAACGCCGGCCGTGACCCCTGAACCGCCGGAGCTTCTGCAGGGATGCTGCTGATGTTGTTTACATGCTCATGTTAATTAAATTACTAAGATCTGAGTGGGGGGATGATTAGCATGCTAGCAGTAATAGCTAGCAGGGAATCCGATAGCCTATTATCATAATGAGTCCCTTTGGCGTTCCGTGTTTGGGAGAGAGAGAGGAGGGGGGGAGCGTTTATGTCGGTCGCCCAGAGAGGAGACTTACTTCAAAGTGTTTTTTTTAGCAGGATACATGATACAAATTGATTTGTCCAACCTGGATAGAATTAGATAATGTCACTTCTGGGATGTGGCAAAGAGGGAAATATTTTGTTTGCCAGTGAAACACAAACACAGCGAACAAACACACAAACACACACCGACGCACTCACAAATTCTCCCTTCTTGCAATGCTGATATCATATTTGTCACCGTTTTTGCGTTAATTTCCCTGCTGTCTGAAGCCCTGAGCTGCTGTGAAGATGAAATCAACACATGCACAGACAAGCAGACACATGAATATATATACTCAGTCTCTGCAGGTGCTCCTGTACAAATATTCACAAATACACAAACACTCCCTGGAGGAGGGAGTACTACCACGTCCCTCCACCGGACTTCCAGGGAACTTGTGCTTTAAAGCTGAGCTCCTCAGCTCCATGCACAGCGACCAGTTTGACTTCAGATCAAAGTTTTTCTTTTTTTTTTTTTTTAACCCTCAACAGACTCCAAAGCCCAGGAGCAAATAAGGAAGATGTGGAATTGCCCTGAGTTCATTAACTCTAAATTTTCACACCAACACATGTCTTTCATTCCATCTCCAGAGGACGAGAGAAAGACATATCGCTTCATATATTCCCACTCCCCCGAGGAGTTTGAATATATGCAGCGATAAGTTCAGTACGTCTGTCCTCTAACTCTCATTTTCTCTCTTCTACTCCCACATAAGCTAATGTCTGCTAACTTAAAATGTGTGTTTGCTTTATTTCACAGTTCAGTTCACCTCAGCTTTTAAATTCACTCTATTAACGAAATAACAATCATTTATGTAGAAGATTCTATGTTGAACAAATCAAAATTGCTCCAAATGTTGACCTGTGGTGTTTTATTCTCCTGCAGATGCCAAGGCCTGCCCCTTCAAAGATTACCAGTGCCGTAACGGAAAGTGTTTGGCACCAATCTTTGTGTGCGACGGCGACGACGACTGTGGGGACGCCAGCGATGAGGAGAAGTGCTCGGCTCCCACCTGCGGTCAGCACGAGTTCCGTTGCAACGACTCGGAGTGCATCCCCGCCCTGTGGAGCTGCGACGGGGACCCGGACTGCAAGGACAAGTCGGACGAGTCCATGGAGCGCTGCAGCCGACGGACGGAGCCCCAGAAGCCTCGCTGCCCGGTGGGCGAGTTCCAGTGCGGGAGCGGGGAGTGTGTCCACATGAACTGGAAGTGTGATGGGGATGCCGACTGCAAGGATAAATCTGATGAAGCAAACTGTCGTAAGTCATCTCGGGTGAATAATAAGCACGTGAATGAACATGCAAGTGAAAGGGATCTAACGGATGAAGCTGCTGTCTTTTTAATGATTATCAAAACAGCCCCAAGATCCCAAATTTATCTGGAATTTTCTGTTTTTGCACAGCATGAAAAAAAATTTACCCGGAGCTACGAAACCCAAGAAAGAGTCATAATGTTGACATATTGCTTAATTAAAATGAACACAGCCAGTTTTGTGAGGGAACTTAATGATTTCACGCCTCCGGACATTGGGCCTTTCATCTCTACATATGCGGATGTCCAAAACCATTTGTCCCTTTCTGAACCCGATTCTGATACCTGGACTTTCTGCATTTAAAAAAATAACAACCTATACGTAGCATTCCTGCTGGTGTTTTTATTTTTATATAAATTCTGTCAAATAGTCCAAAGTCTCTGTTAAGTACTTACAGTATAAAAAGGCTAAGTTCTTCTTGGTTGGTGTCGAAGTATTAAAAAGTTAACAGCAGCCTTTTGTGAAGGTGATTCATGGAGATGAAATATGCAACAATGTTTTGTTGTGGAACAATGGAACTAGAAGCAAACATGCTGTGTATCGAGTGTAGAGATTATGTGACAAATCTCGTTGTGCCACCAAACGACTGGAGATCAATGCAAACTTTATCACGATGATGCATAGAGTGTGTTGCCACGCAACCATGTAATCTACGTGTGTGTGTGTGTGTGTGTGTGTGTGTGTGTGTGTGTGTGTGTGTGTGTGTNGTGTGTGTGTGTGTGTGTGTGTGTGTGTGTGTGTGTGTGTGTGTGTGTGTGTGTGTGTGTGTGTGTGTGTGTGTGTGTGTGGGAGGTGAAGGTCCTTCATCAAGCAAGACTCCCATCTGGTCTCCTATTCACACCACTCAGCGAGATGAAAGCAGCATCACACATATGACATGATGCACGCGTACTGTGCTGCCACACAATCACACACACACACACACACACACACACACACACACACACACTGATGCTTTCACAGGGACAAGTACACATACTTATATTTGGAATAATCACACAGTCATGGAGGTTTTATAAAATCTATATACCTTCTGTAATAACTGAAAAGCCAAAGTTCACCCGGCCTTTTCAGTGGATTGATCATTGATCATGATACTGTATAAATATGAGGACATAACTTTGTATTAACTTTAAGATCCATCTAAGTATGCAGGTGTAGGATGGGACGGGTTTTTTATTTGAATATAATGTCACAACAAGGTTGATACGTGCATCACGGTCTATAGAAGCACTAACACTCAAACCTTCCTGGTCTTTAAATCAATATTCCTGCTTTCAATTCATCTGATCTGGAACAATTAGTGATAAATGAGTCACGTCATCCAGATCTATACAGCACATGCTTCACAGGCTGTCCTTCCCTTATTGTTATGTACATTACATGAGGTTGCTGGTGACCTTTAAGACCTTTCGTCTTAATTAGTGTGTTTTTTAGAGCTCGACCAGGTCATAGGTTGATCAATCATATCAGCCGATATGAGCCTTTCATAGACATATTGCATTGTTTGCTGAAATGAAAAGTAATATCTTTTCATGGTCTATGATAAAATGTTTTATGTGGTATTGCATGTACAAGAACAAACCCAGTAACATAATTGCATGTCAGTTCAAGTGTTCCCTCCTGCTCTACACGTGCCTGTGGAACCATCTGTTTCGATAACATTGTTTAGAGCTGCATGTATTTGATATGCATTTGATTGGATGCTCATCAAAGTGCGGATGAACGTGGGCGGGTGTTGGTTTGTTTCAGTTGAGGTGTAATAGTCTCAGATGTCTGTGTAATGTAAATGAGAGAACATGAGCTGAGCACGGGGAGGTGAACCCTTTTAATGTGAATCAGAAAAGTGACAATCATTTCATACCTCCAGCTTGTTCTCTCCTCCTCCTCCTCTATTCCATCAACTCCGCTCCTTCCCGCAGTCCTCGTCCCCTGGTTACATCCACTGTCTTATATCAGACATCTGTCTCAATAATCCTGTGTTATTACAGACACGCTGAGACAAGCGAGCACGGTGGCAGGAGGTTAATGCAAATGAGGAGCGGCCGAATCGCATCTCTCGGTTGCTTCTCTCCCTTTCCCTCCTGCCGCCATCTCCGCTAATGGCAATCCGGTATTATAACTATTCATCTCGGGGATTAATCATAATTAGCTGAGCTCAGATCTAAATCATGTGGCTGAAAGAATCAGCACATTTTCTGATGGCACAGGATTATGTCTTTCACACTTTGCTGAGTTTAGCATTAACATATGTTTGTCTTCATCCATCTATTTATCTTTATTCGAGCAGCAGAAGTCTGAGTCAGCCTCCAGCAGCTCATGTAAACTTACTGCACACATGCATTTTTAACTTTGATCATTTAACGCGTCTGCTCACCTCACGTGTGAGTTTGCGGAGGTGCACGCTGTGTGGTGCGACACCGTGCGTGTGACTGTGTCTTGATACAGTGATTGTGCGCCGTGTATTTTCGTGGCCTCGTGCAGCAATTGATCACATCTGTCTTCACTCCCTCGGTAGAGCTGGTCCAAAACACAACGCATGAATAATTAAACAGTCGGTTAAAAAGACGAATGAGTTAAATAAACCTGTCCTCTGCCGTTAGAGGAAGCAAACACAAATGCCTTAAGCCTACAACACACACACACACACATTCAATAGGTCACTGGATGAATACCCGCCTGCTTTTCTTTTCCATTGGGACTTTTACTGTGCAGGCAGGAGTGGTGTATTACAGATTACTGTTGGATTTGCAAACTGTACTCACTTGTGTGTTCATTTGAAAATGCTCTGCACTTGTGTTACGATCCTTTTGATTTGTATCATCTCATAGATTTTATTTTTGACTGTAATGAAAATGTAACAAGTCACTTAAATCTGATGGATGTGTGTGTTTGTTTCTCTCAGCGCTGCTAACGTGTCGGCCTGATGAGTTCCAGTGTGGCGACGGCTCCTGTATCCATGGCACCAAGCAGTGTAATAAAGTTCACGACTGTCCGGACTACAGCGATGAAGCTGGCTGTGTTAACAGTAAGGCAACAGTGCCGCATGCACACAACCACCTGATCGTCAGCTGCACAGTACATTTACTCCACAACCCTGCATGGTCTTTGTTATTTGGAGAAACAAAAGTACAAAATGTCAGGTAATCATGAAATATTAAAGAAATGGTTGTATATTATAGGGCGTGGTGAAAGAAATCAGTACAATTAAATAATTCCTGTAACTCTACAAACTTTAAAATTTTCGGAATAAGAAATTTAGTACCTTGTTTTTATATTTCAAAAGAAAATGACCTTTTTTATCCCTATTTTAAATTTTCATGTTTCAAATCTGACACCACGATTTCATGAGAATGACTCAAATGAATACAGGCACACAAAGCTCACAAAATACACTTATATAAAAATCCCTGCAGAGCATCGCTGCCAAACATCCCCGAGGTTCATAAAAAGTGAAAACCAAGCTTCTATAGCTGATTCCTTCGCCCCATGAGTTGAGTGAGAAGTCGTCCCAAGCACAAAAACAGAAGAGGCTTCGACCAAATATTTTGTAAGCCCAACTAAAGTGCTCAGTCAAAGTAAGCCCCGAATTTAAAAACTGGCTTTTTGGTTAATAATGTTGTGAAAACTAAATATTCTGTTGCAGAGAAAATTGGTGATGCAACTCCTAAAAATGTGATCCCCTCATGCTTCTCTCTTCTTTGCAATACTTGATTTACTGCCCAAAAAAAAAAAAATCCTATTTCTACATTTTCAGGATTTCGCCGGGGGATCACAGTATCACAGATGGTTATGTTTGGCTGCACTTGTTGATTCTGCCTCATGAATAAAGAAGCAAATTATGAAACTGCTAACTATGAACGACAGAGGAACGGGAATCCAAGTGTTTGAAGAGTCTCAGGATGTTAAGATTTTAAAGTTCACAGTTTTGGTTTTTGCTTAACCACACACTGCATATGGCATAAACAAGCCCGCATGCAATATCACACAATGAATATCACCTCACTGTCACCGAGTAATGTTTATTTTGAGCCTGGTGTTTTAAGATGGATTTCCAACATAAATGAAGCCAGTAAAAATAAATATATGTCAAGGTGTCACTTGTTATCTTTATGTTTCACTGAGATATTGGCATCATAATAGGTTTATTCATTCTTTAATGTTAAATCTATGTCATCCAGATTGATAGAATATATCAATTTACATGCAATAAAATGCATTTATCTTAAATATGAAGCTAATTAAACTGAATGTGGAGTCTGTACCTTTATTTTATTTCCACTGCATCATTTTGTACTCGGCTACATCGTGCACAGTTACTATACATATGATATTCAAGGAATCTCGTGTTGCCAAACATCACCTCTCGCCCTGACGTTACGTTTTGAGGCAGTGAACTTTATCTTGAACCCAGTGTTCTGAAGTGCAGCTGTGAAAGTGAAAATGATATCACAGTTTCCAAAAGTACATGGTGCAGTGTGTGTGTGTGTGTGTGTGTGTGT